AACTGTCTGGTTTGGCTCTGCAACCCAAGACAGACACAGACTTCAGAGGATAATTAGAACTGCAGAAAAAACAATGGCTACCAACCGGCCTTCCACTGAGGACCTGCAAACTGCATGAGTCAAAAAGAGGCTGGGAAAATATCTACAGACCCCTCACATCCTGGACATAAATTGCTTTAACTTCTACCCTCAAAAGGATGCTATAGGGCTCTGCACACCAGAACAACTAGACACAAGGAGAGTTTTCCCCCGCATGCCATCACTCTGCTAAACAACTAATTCCCACAACACTGCCAATAATTTACTAAGACTGTATTACTATTATTCTTCTCTTCCTTCCTAGTACTTCCTCACTTATGACAATATCCATGTTGCTTGTATCTTTACAATTTATATTGTTTTATTTGTTCCTAGTATGATTTGATTGCTTATTAATAACCTAGGACTATTACTAAGTGTTGTATCTTATGACTATATCATGATTCTTTATTAATGTGTTTTATTTTTCTTTATGTACACTGAGAGCATATGCCCCAAAGACAAATTCCTTTTGTGTCCCACCACACTTGGCCAATAAAGAATTCTATTCTATTCTATTCTATGCTATGCTATTCTATGCTATTCTATGCTTTGCTTCCAGTTTCTGGCCAAAAAAGCCCATTGGAGGCAGTGAATTCACTTAGTGACTGCCACAAAAAATGGGTCATTCACATGGATGCTGCAACTTACACCCATCACAATATACAACAGAAATCCCAGGATCCATTACTAAATGGAGGGCTGCTTATAAGCCTATAAACAGCTTTTCTAAATGTATCTTAATCTGAACGGCAGATAATTTAAAGTCTGCTATGGCTGAGAAGCAAATAAGCAAAATGAAAGTAATGAACAGCTAGAACTTTAAGTTAGAAATATGACTTAAATGGAATGTTCTTTTTTTTTTTTTGTAGGTCCTTGTACAGTTGCAAAGAAATTGTGTTGCGAAGAAATACAGCAGGAAGTCTTGGCTTCAGTATAGTGGGAGGTTATGAAGAAAACAGTGGAAACCGGCCGTTCTTTATCAAATCCATTGTGGAAGGGACCCCAGCATATAATGATGGAAGAATCAGGTAATAAAAACAAACTGATTAAAAGCAAATTCTGTCTTATAATTGAGGTAGCTGTTGATCAAATTCGACCCATGAAGCATCTATATGAGCCAAGGTGGTGCAGTGATTAGGGTGCAGTAGTGCAGGCCACTTCAGCTGACTGTTATCTGCAGTTC